GTAGCATGTCATCCTTGACTTTAATGACTATAAAAATAGCAGGTAAAGGCTTGTGAATCTTAATGCAACTACTATGTGTGTGTGTGTGTGTGTGTGTGTGTGTGTGTGTACATGACAGCTATAACATTTTCCCCAAAATGCTAAAGTAAAAGAAATGCAAGCCATATAGCAAAATAAGGGGAAAGAAGATTTTAAAAAAGCAAAGGAAAAACACCAACCAGTCATTAAGGGCAAAGGTTTGACTGCAGAATTCTTTGGAGCTACAGAGCCTTCACCCAGAAGCCTGTGACAGGTGCTGTCTCCTGGAAGGCCCTCCCTCTTCCTGCAGCACAGGGACTGCTAGCCTCCCCAGGTTCAGTAAACACAAAAGGAATTTCTAAAATAGAGGGAAACTGACATCTATAAGTGTGAAACTACAAGGCATAGTTGTGATGGAAAACCAGGGCATTAGTACCCAATTGCTTTCTTACGAAGAAGCTGATACTCAAAAACTTTGAAGAGTGTTGTTTTGTTTTGTTTTAAATCCACTCATCTGAGATATTCTGCAACACTAGTTTTTTCTTTTCTCCCATTGTCTTGTTTACTGCAGGAATTACCACGTTTTTCTCTTGGCTTATAATCATAAAGAAAGGTAGACTGCTTGGAGTTACCAATTTTCACAACCAGTTAAAGGTATCCGTATCGTGAAAAGAAGTGGTCAGAGGGGCTGGGCGCAGTGGGGTACACCTGTAATCCCAGCAGCTCAGGAGGGCGAGGCAGGAGAATTGAAAGTTCAAAGCCAGCCTCAGCAAAAGCGAGGTGCTGAGCAACTCAGTGAGACCCTGTCTCTAAATAAAATACAAAATAGGGCTGGTGATGTGGCTCAGTGACCCCAAGTTTAATCGCCAGTACCCCCCCATCCCTGCCACCAAAAAAAAAAAAATAGTGACAAGAGGAGACCTAAAAAGCAAAGGAAGGCTCTGGGTGGTGGAAAAGAAATTAAAAATGAAAAAAAAAATAGAGCAAACAGAGAAGGAGCAAATAACCAGAAAAACCAAGGAGTGTGTGTATAATAGTCGCAACCCTCTGCCAAATCTCACCACCCAAGGTTCAATGCAACCGACTAATTAACTGACAATTCCCCACAAAACTTACAAGGGAATAAAAGTTTGGAGGATAAGTTAAGAAAAGCTCATTAATTTCTGCTCTGGGTCTCTCTTCAATTACACATTCCTTCATCTATGCCCGGGGCAAGTGTGCCCTCCACTGTTCACTCTGCCCACACTCCACTGTTGAACTCCAGTATCGTCTCCCAAGTGTGCCCTGACCCCATCATGCTTGTTAATGCCCAGCTCTCCCCGACACTGAAAGTTCTTGGTTACAGGTATCTACTCTCAATTTGACTTCTGTTCCCTGGGCTAAAACCTACACGCCAATAACCCGCAGAAGACATGGTCCTCTGCACTCCCTGTGACTTCAAAGGTGAGCTCTCTCCCATGCCAGCCCTCCTGGCTCTGCATGTGTGGAGGCACACATCGGGGCTGGGAAAACAGACTCCTTGTCCCTGGTCACCCAGGCCTTTCCCCATCATCAAGCTGCTGAGGCAGAGTTAGCAGGAAGGGCCAGAGCACTGCTTAAACCTGGATCAAAAAGCCAAATTACTTCATTAATTTTCATTACAAACTTCTCAGTAAACAGAAGCTTTTCAGACCCAGCAGATTCTAAAGATAACATCAGAGACAGGTCCGGGAGCCAAATGCAGGAGGAAGGAAGATGCATACGAAAGTATTTTCAGGTTTTGATCCAGTTGCTCAGGGTGCCCGAAACTGCTTGAGCATCAGGGAGCCACACTCTAGACAAAGGTTCCTAAGACAACATATTTCCCAGGCGACAATGAAATGCTACAGAAGATGAAATACAAGATGGCTTTTTTTTTTTGGGGGGGTACCAGCAATTGAACCCAGGGGTGTTTAACCAATGAACTGCCTCCCTAGCAAACACACTTCCTTTTTAAATTTTATTAGAGACAGGGTCTGAGTTGCTTAGGGCCTCGCTAAATTGCTGAAGCTGGCTTTGAACTCAAGATCCTCCTGCCTCAACCTCATGAGCCGCTGGGATTACAGGTGTACACCACTATGCCCAGCTGCAAATTCACTTTTAATCCAGAAAAGAGGCAGAAGGAAAAAAAAAAATAGGGCAGGAGTCGGGAAGCAGTTCAAGCAAGAACAACCCGTTTGGGTATCTGGTGAGCTGCAAGAACTCTGGGCCTCACTGTCCACTGAACTAAATCCCCCAATACTGCCCCCTAGTTTCACTATAATGAGAATTTGATGCCCATTAACCAGACTGGCACTTCTAAGACATAAGTATGCTTTTGTCAATGTGTATCAGGCAGCCGCAGCTACCATCAACCTGGAGAACCCCAAGACAGTGAATAAACATTCTTCGTGGTAACACTCAGGAGGTCAAATTCTCTCAATTCGCTTGGCTTCAGAGTCTGGAATTATGTTTTAATTTGGGGCAACTAGGATGACTTGGATGCAAGGAATAATTTTCCCTCCACAATTTGTGGCACAAATTTAAATTAACACACATAGATTGTTTTAAACTAAAGAACTATATTATGTTATAGGCAACATAACTCTTAAAAAATTTTGAGTCAAGCCAAGCATGGTGGTGCATGCCTGTGATCCTAGCAAGTTGGGAGGCTGAGGCAGGAGGATTTCAAGTTCAAGGCCAGCTTCAGCAACTTAGCACAGACCTAAGCAACTTAGGGAGACTGTCTCAAAAATTAAGAAGGGCTGGGGAAGATATGGCTCAGTGCTTAATGTCAATCTCTAATACCTACCCACCCTCCCCCCCAAAAAAAAAAGAAAAGGAGGGATGGAGGAGGACTAGAGACAAATTAGTAATTTTATGCTTCAGGGTACATATATAACTTTTTGCCATATTTCTGGCTGAAAATGGATCAAAAGAAGGGAGAATGGGCAAATGGTGGGGGGTGGAAGACATGAAGGATGACGCTTTATATGGCATAATCTCAGGGATACTGCTCACCCTCCCCTTCTCCCACATCACTACACTCTCAACCTGTTTGAAATTGTATCATCTGTGTCTTGTCCCTTTAGGTCCTTAACACAAGAGACCCATGGAAAAATCAGAAGGAAAAAAAAAGTTTGCTAGAAATAAGGGACTTATTTGAGGAATATGAAAACGGTACAAGTTCATATTTACTAATCAAAGATTCTCAGAATAAGCCCATCTGGTTGCAGAGCCTAGAAGTTACAAGACAGAGTCAGAGACCATCGACACATCCAGGCTAACCCTGAACCTGTGCCCAAGCCCCAGTGAGAATCACCAAGCTCCATTCAGATCAGAAAGTATCAAGGAGTCTGGCTGAGGCCTCCTTATTCAACTCTTTCAAGCTGATAAGGGAGAGGAAAGGGAGGAAACCAGGTTTGAATTCCTTCACTCTTCTCCCAAACTCACACTGTTCTACCCCAAGACTGAATCCTACACCAGAGCTTTTTCCTCCTGTTCCTAAAGAACGCCAGGGAAAAACATGGCAAATTTAGTAGGATCTGTTCATTAGGGAATAGAATTATATTCATGTTCTTTCACCAATTTTGATCATTAGGCTGTCTATATAGGGCAGTATCCTTTTTAAAGGAAATACATGGTAGTATTTGAGAAGGGTTATCACTTTTGCAACCTGGTTTAAAAAAATCCATATGCTTCATATTTAGATAGAGATGATAAAGAAGCAAATGTCATAAAATGCATCATTTGAGGAATTTGCAGAGGTATGTAAGAGAATTTTCCATACTATTCTTGCAACTTTTTTGAAGCCTAGAATTATTTTTTAAAAATAAACATATCAGCCCCAAGAGAACTGTAATGCAAGGCACTGTCTCCAGTCCCAGTCTGGAGGACCCAGGACCGGGCGTGGGGGGGGGGTCTGCCACAGAGTGAGGAGCCTGTGTCTTGTCTTGGCTCTGCTACGCAGCTGGGGGGCCCTGGGCAGTCACTTAACTGCCCCGATCCTCAGCATCTCATCCAAAAGGTGGAGACAAAAACTTCTTTGTAAAGCTTTCAAAAACCAGGAAGCGAAGGCCCAAGACAGGTAGGACCACAACTCATTTAATAGCAGTGGGTGTCGGTCACATAAAGAAATTCAAATTTCCCAGTCTCTGAAAAACCAACTGTGCCTTTTAATCTTCCATGAAATGGAGGACAAAGGGCACTTGAGGAACCCTTGAGATAGGAAGACCAGCACTCACAGCAACTTTACTATTCATCACCTATGCTAGCTTATCTCCTCATTAATGGACGGGCCCTTATGCAAAAGCTCAATAAGGTATCTCTTGTTCTGTTAATAAGACTTGATTATATGTGTCATGACGAAGGCTCAAGCTATTTTGACATTTTTAAATTTACTTATCACACACATCTTTATGTCTGCTTGTTGATTGATTAATAAGGTCCCACTACAAAAGGACTGAGGCATCTCAAGGAAACACCATGGTCTCTGGATAAAGAACTAGAGATGCTTCTGGTCCATACTCCAGAGAGATCCCTAAGGGGACCTGGCCAAGGATGTTGCTACAGGGAGGTGAGCAGAGCATAGAGCTGGAGGCTGTGTGTGTCTGTCGGCAGCATTGGGTGGTGAACCTGGTGGTCAGACATCATGGAAATAGGGAGCAGAGGGTGCACAGGAATGGATCTTAAAGACAGATGCCAAGTGCCAAGCTCACAAGTGGAACAAGACATACAGTATGAGGCCAGAGAGTCTGTGGGGTGGCCCACAGTGCTCATGCAACATGTTAAATTATTCGTAGGATGTTATGTTCTAATTTGTTTAAGGAAAAAAATTCCAAACTGGGAGGGAGTGAGAGGGAAGGATGGAGACACATGAAGATAAAAGGAGAGCTGGGTGGATAGTGGAGAAAGGGGGACATATGCATGCACACACACAGGCTGGGCAGCCTCATCCCAAACAAGATAACACCCCGGGGTCTTACCTGAGGGCCCCGGCTTGTGGCTGGATGGGCCCACCTGGTGCACGCTCTGCTGTAGCAAGTTGAGGCACTCCCCGAGGCAGCTGAGGGTGGCCGCAGAGGTAGCTTTCAGGAGCAGCAAGTCCTGGTCCAAGGCAGTGAGGGGGCCAGAGCCCGGCAGGGACTCAATGGCATGCACCAGGTTCTTCTGCTGCCCTTCCACCTGGTTCATCATCTACAAAATGGAGAGGACAGCGCAGAGTGAGGTGCGGAAGTTCTCCTTTCTGCAGGATGGAGAGCCAGTACCGGTGAACTGGGGAGACCAAGGCCAGACTGACTTAGATCGCTGCACACACATTAGTCCTTTGCCAAAATATGCAAGCCCGAGAGAAGTCAGTCCAGGTAAATCTAATCAAAGGCACTCTGGCTGAAAGAGAAACTTAGGACATCAGAGATGAAAGGGAGCACAGGGCCAACTGAGCTGGTCATGTTACAGATCTTCAGTAGGTAATCCATAAGAAATACAATAAGAGCACAAATCCTGTGCTCATTTTCGACATTCTCTAACAGAGGGTTACGGGAGCATTGGGCACACTGTGGCTTTCCCTCCGGCTCCAATTCTTCACTCCTTGGCAGTCCTATTTCAGGGTAAAGAAATGGAAGCGAGGGGCTGGGGCTGTATAGGTCAGTGGCAGAGCACTTGCCCAGCATGTGTGAGGCACTGGGTTTGATCAGCAGCAGCACATAAAAATAAAATATGCTGTCCATCTACCAAAATGAAAAGAATGCAAGTGAAATCTGGAGCTGGTATTTGTATGAGCACAATCTTAGCAAAATCATTCCACTCTCCAAAATTGCCACACACCATGTGGCTTTCTGCATCACCATGGGAGATGACAGAAAGGAAAACCAGGAATGTTAGACCCGGCCCTACATCACAGCTTACTATGTGACTTGGCTTCAAGTCCTAAGCTTATCGCAAGGCTAGGTCTAATTGTGTCTTTGAATTGGAAAAAAAAAAAAAATTAAAAAAAAAAAAATCAAGGACAAAGAAATCCAAGGAGAGCTAGAAAGGGACTTTAATGGGTATGGTGTGAAGTTCATGCCCCTCATGTTTTACAACTTATCTCATTAAACAAGATGATGTGCATAAAGTGCTCAGCACCGTGTCTGGCACGTAATTAGCAGTCCTGAGAAGTGAAGGAGCTGCCCAAGGTCACGGAGCTGGTTGGCCTCCTGTTTTCAGGGCTTCATTCAAGTTTTTCTACAAAAGCCGTCCTTAATTTGGAGCAACATCTCCAATTTTGTCATTGTCAACTCCAGGATCCTTGTCACCAACATGATGTCACCAGCTAGAAGCAGCAATAATTCTATAAGGATCACTGATCTTGGACCCAAAACTCCTTCCATGCTTAGCCTCTTGGATGAAGGAGGGAGACCTGCTTTTTTTTTTTTTTTTTTTTTTTTTTTTTTAATCATTTGGTATAGTCACTGACTTAAAAAAAAAAAATAGAAGTTCTTCCCTTACAAGCCTGTTTATCAACACAAGTGTCATCACATCAAAATGATTTCTGAAAGGTCAGTGCTAATAAGCATGCTGCACAGACATGGCTTGAAGTGTTCTCATCTTACTGTGTACACCCACTATCTGGTCCTGTGAATTTCATTTATTTATTTATTGCAGATTACACAGGGTATATCTAGCCATTCTGGCTCCTATAATAGCATCCAGAGCATAGGAGGGGCACAATAGTATTCATTTGTCCTTCAGATTTTTTTTTCTGGAAAGGGGGGAAAATCACCTTGTCAAGAAACCTTCCCAAACCACCTCATTTCAAACTGTACCAGGAACTTGGGCTCCAAACCTCCTAACTGCTTTTAGTTTTCTCCATAGCATTTATCACTTTCCAACTTAGCCTTATTATGTTCACTTCCGCTAGTGTGAAAGAAGGAATCATTATCTGTGCTGTGCACTGAAGCCCGAGCACAGTAAATATCTATTGAATGAATAAGCCAAGATCTTACTATTCTCTTGCTGAAGTATAAGAGAATCCATTCATGGCACCAAGTCCACAGAAACCATTATACTCAAAAAGCATAAGAGTATTAAAGATTTAGTAAAAACAAGACCTTTGTTATCAGTTTAGGCTTGCCAAGAAATATTGCCTGGTTAAGTTTGATTTCAAAAAGATAAAATGTCTGTGTATTCACGGATAGTCAAGTATATGTATAACTGCTAACAGTTAAGGAAAAGTGGATTTCAAGCTATTTGTAGGAGTCAGCATCTTCTGTAAATACTTACCATAAAACCTTGTCTTAGAAAGATGATGGGTTGAGAAAAAGAACATAATGATGAAATGCATAATAGATTATGGTTTTGACTATTATGAACGATGCCATAATGCTTAAGAAAATAGGTGAGTTAAAAATCAAGCCGTTAACTGTGGAATATATTCATTTTTAATCAAAAAAAACTAACTATACTCCAATTATATAGTATGAATAAATTCTTGTTATTTCACAAGCAAAAGCTATTATGTAAATTTGAGGTAATAAAAACACAGAATTGGCTCATGGAGTGTTCTCTCCTATTGCAACAGAGGCACACGTCCAGAGATGGATCTGGACCAGCTCGCCCAAAATTCATTCAACAGTATTTACTGAGAGCCTATAGCCTGTGCCACAGCAGAATGGCCTTTTAGAAAAAAAGCATGTGGACATGGCAATGGGGTAGTTTTAGCAGTTACAATGACAGGGGTCAGGGTAGTGGGGAAATGCTGGCCCCAAGTGGGATGGGGCTAGGAGTGCTATATGCCTCACAAGTCGGCTCAGATATACAACAGTGCTTGCTGCTAGCATAGGGTGGCTGCACACACCTCTGTAATCTCAGCCACTTGGAAGGCTGAGGCAGGAGGATCACAAGTTCAAGGTCAGCCTGGGCAACTGAGAGCCTGTCTCAAAAATTAAAAATAACGAGTAGGGATGTAGCTCAGTGGCAGAGTGCCACACAGTTTAATGCCCAATACGGGGGTGGGAGGAAGCATTTTGGTGCCTGAAATGCCAGCAGTGCCCGCTTGAGTAACTCTCTGCAAGAGACCAATAACCAAGCATCTTATGGTTTACAACATCTTTCTTGGTAAATCGAGCTGAGCATATCGACTGGCACAGAGTACACATCTCCTCAAAATGATTTTCATTCGCTTTTCCTCTGAGATGTGAAACAGAACTCTGGTTTTTCTTTGGAGGGGGCCAGGTAGTGAGTGCTGGGGCATCCTCCCACTGAGTTATATCCTAGTCTTTTTTTTTTGGGGGGGGGGCACTGAGATTTGAACCCAGAGGCACTCAACCACTAAGCCACATGCCCAGCCCTTTATTTTGGGAAATGGCATCATTAAATTGCTGAGGCTGGCCTTAAACTTGGAATCCTCCTGCCTCAGCCTCCTAAGCTGCTAAGATTACAGGCATGTACCACCGTGCACAGCTATCCCAGTCCTTTCTAAGATAGGAGGATCACAAGTTTGAGGTCACCCTGCTTCAGCCTCCCAAGTAGCTGGGATTACCAGTGTGTGCCACCACACCCAGCCACAACTCTAGTTTCTAATGACAATCAATGCCTATCTTCACTTTATATTAACCTTATCAGACTCCAAAAGAAATTTAATGAACCCTTAAAGAAATGTAGGCTTCCTGGCCTACATGTATGCCACATTTATTCTTGCTCTCATTTGCTCAGACTGGGAGGCACTGATGAAGAGGACTCATTAGACTCTGGAAGAACAAGTTTTAATTATTTCTAGACCTAATTTTAATTAAGCTGAATGTGGTACTCAAAGGCGGTATGCACCCAAAATACCCAGAGCAAATTCCAAGAGGCTCCTTTCCTCCTTTCAAGGTACCTACAGGCTTAGCAACAAAGAGCTAAACACAGCCCTTCACCAGTAAACTACAGCCCTCAACAAAAATGTTGAATTTCCTGCTTCACTCAGGTAAGTTCCAAATCAGAGCCTCCCATACTTCCTCCAAGGCACATCAGCATTTTTCAGCCACAGTGTTGAACAGAGCAAGCAGAGACTTCATTTTTTTCCTGGCATTTGGCTTCCACAGTCAAGGGTGCCAACATCTTGTAACGAAACACAGGCACACAAATGAGGCCCCAAATTCAATGTCAAAGATACAACCTCAGTGTTGACACTCAGAAGGTATGAAAAACTAAATGTAGGTCAAGTTGAACTTCATAGATAAGGAAACTTTCAAAATGAGCAAACCTCACAGGGAGTGGGAAAATGATGTTCTGGCCCGTTTCCCACAGCACAGACAACAGCACATGCATTACAAAATAAAACCACAGGAGTGAATGCATGGAGATTAAAGACGCCAAAACCAAGATGCAAAGGCCAGCACTCCAAGACAGCTGGCTCAACGAGTTTAAACCTTCTCAAAGAACCAAAGGAGATAGCAGAGGGGTAAGGGCCTCCTTTGTTCCGACTTGCCCAAGCTGCAAAATCTTGGTGCAGGTTTTAGAGGGATCTGAATAGTCCAGTTATGACAGGCTGGATGTCACCAAATACAAGCTGGGTCGCTCATCCATATGTCTAGAAGATCAGGAATAAGGAACCTCATGGGCATAGATTCCTAATCCTGTATTTAGGAGCCTCCGTGAGTTTCCTGGTGCCTGCAGTAACTCCTTGCCATCCGTCTTGTTTGGAAGTAGAACAATGCATGAAAGTCTGAGGTGGCTTTGGTTGGGCACTTCTCCTTAGTCTGGTGGAATTTCTGAATCCCGGCCAAGCCTCCCCTCTGGGACATGGGGGAAGGTCTGTGGATAATCTACCTGACCAAAGTACTTAGCTTAAAAGCTTTTTTTTTTTTTAAAGCCATGTTTTAAGAACTAAAACCACATACACTCACCCCAATGTAGCTTACTGTTTTTAGGAAGACTTTCCTATTTCACTAACATCATAAGCATTATTTTACTCTTCCAGGAGACTGCCCCAGAAATGTTTTGATGATTACATTAACTTCTTGAGCATTCACCGACTCTTTTTAGGGAACAGCAGTTTGTACATTAAAACTCTTTGATTTGCCTCAAAATCCTTGCTTAGTTTCCACCCGTTCTGAATTGCTTTATCTAGGTCACTACTTAATCCTAATGAAGTCCCCAATTGGAAACGAAACTTCCAATTCTCCATATTCTGACCTTGCCTTCCTCCCTCAGAGACATTGCAACACCCTGCA